TTTAATGTCCATATAATAAGAGAACCAAATACTAAAGCAACCGAAGGGACACTTATGTTGTTATTGAGTTAATATGCCTTGACAAAAGCGTATCTAGATGCAAAAGCATGCACCTTGTCAAAGACATCCTTTACCCAAAAGGGTGCAATAAACCTTTGTTAAGTTGGCACTGATGTTTGGTGCACACCTTTATACAGGCACTGATGCTTGGTGCACACCTTTATACACTAAGTTGATGTCGTTCTTGCTCTCTGTCTCTTTTTCTTTGAAGGTGGTCGGCTTTTATAAGCCTCGTCGGTATCTTCTTTGGACCGAGTAAAGAGGCGACCTTTGGTGAGTCATCAAACATGGTGGTGACTCACCCTAAATTTTGACGTGTGGAGGGCAGCTGGTATTTTGGAGTCTTCGATGAGGGCGGTAGAAGGTGGCTGAGGCACCTAGCAGTAATTGGTTAAAGCAGTGGCGTTGGCAGCAGCGTCGGCAATGATTTTTGGAAGTAGCGGCGGCCGCGTGGTTGCCCTAGGGTATCATACCCTAGGGTTTTCATCTGGTGCACCTGGGACCGTTGGATCAAGATTAGATCCAACGGCAGCAAGCAATGGCGACTGGGAGTAGAGAGAAACCTTAATTTGATTTTAGGGTTTGGTTGGGCCAGTTGTAGTTGGGCCTGGCAGGTTGGATCGGGCCTATGTTGTAAACGGGCTCTGATTTTGGGCATGTAATATGTAATAATAATATTTATTAATAATAATAAAAATATAATAATAATAATAATTATAACAATTATAATAATTACAATAATTACACTAATAATAAAAATAAACGTGCAAAAATTTAGTGTCTACAATTTCAATCAAATATTAACGTGTAATCAAACTAAAATAAATTTACTATCATTATTTAGACAAATAATAAAGTGCACTAACATATTAAAAGTAGTATGAAGTATACTTATCTGGGATTACGATGTATTGCTATTGGTATGACTGGAAATTAAATATTTATCATCAAAATCTCGAATGAAGAATCATGGATTAAAAATCTAATCTCCAATATAAAAATCTTGCTTCTGTGCAAGTGTTGTTGATAACGTATTATAAATAAAGGAGACAAAGCAATAATAGGAACAAGAAGAACAAGTGACATAAGAGAAAAAGGGGAGTATTGTATTATTATTTCAATATGAGTTGTATACAATGCTTTCTCTAAACTCCATATTTATAAGCATAAGGACTATATATCATGTAGAAATCTAACTCTAATTGATATTAAACTCCTAATAATAAAGTATATAAAAATATTATCTTATAGATAGAGATAAAAGATAGAGATAGACATCCACATAAATAAAAATTCATAACAAAAACATAAAAAAAAGATGTTTTCAATATTTTTTATTAAAATTGTTTTGAAAATTAAAAAAATAAAAGATCTAGATTTTTAACTTAGTTTACAAAAATTTAAATCTTTCTAACAACAAATTTTTAATTGAATGGTATTTAAAAATATCAAACTTTTACAAAAAAAAAATTAATATAGCCTTGAATCTTTTTATACTCAATGTGGTTCTTAAACTGAATTTTTTAATAATTTAATTTTATAATATCTTTATATTTAATATGTTTTATATTTTATATTTAAAAATATTTTAATTTTTTCTAAAAGTTTAAATAAGTCCTCAAACTTTCTAAAAAATCAATTAGGCCCTCAAACTTAGTCAAAAAACAAATAATCACATCTACCACATCATTTTTCATCGTGTAATACCACAATAACATCATAAAATGTCACATCAATATTGTAGATTATCATGTAAGCTTTGTAACTTTCATGTAAGCGTAGTGACAGTTTGATTCTGTTGGTTAAAAAATTAGATAGATTTTTATCTCAGTTTAAGGGTCTCATTGAGTGCAAAAAAAGTTCAAGGCTACACTAGTTTTTTTGCCAAAAGTTTGAGTGCCTTAAATATCACTAAATATTTTTTTTGTATTTTTATGACACTTTTATATGCTCTTGTTTACAACAATATTTTTTGTATTTTTTAATTTAGTTTATGTCAAATATGTATTGGCATTATATTCTTATTATAAACTAAAATAATTTGTGTTATGAAATTTCTAATAATTTTTATTATTTTATATTTGCATATCTCACATGTTAATTTATGTAATGATTTTTTAAAAAAGTTATATTTTAATTTAATTATTTAATAACTATATGTTCATCTATATTTTAAAAGTTTAGATACCAAATATATTTCCACTATTTTTGGGTAAAATGTTGAAATATGAGTAGAAAGGAAGCTATTCCCAATTAAATTTTCAAGGTCCAGGACTTTGAACTTAGGAGGGAGGATTAGGTCTAGGATCAAACTCAACTCCAAGGCATCAACCCCATGAGAATTCTCCTTTCCTTTTACGACCTTCATCTAGTCTTCTAGATATTTTATCATGTTTTCCATTTTTCTAAACTTATCCTTGTCGAAATCAGGGATGTGATAATCCTCAGGATTAGTTTGAGGATTCATTATCGAGACTTGTGTCTTTGTGGCAGAAGTATTCCCTGGATACTCCTAGAAGATACCAAGTGTGATTACTAGCTTTGGTGCGAGTGGCACCACTACCTTTCAGATATCCTTACCCCAGGGATATTAGCAAGGTTTCATTCTACCAGCCTTGCCATGATTTGCTCAACCAAGTTGTTCTGATTCTTGGCAATAGAGTCCATGGTGGTCTTTTGGTTTTGGCTTAACTTGTCTTCCAAACTTTTCTCTAGCTTAGCAAGGTTATCCTCGATTTCCTTTAATTTGTTCTCTATTTGCCTTGCTTTAAATTGGGTGTTATGCTAATGTGGTGGGTTCAATGCTTGTTCCTTTTTTAATCAAATGATCTTTATTAGTCATTTATGTTTTAATAGTGAATGCATATTAAGAAATTGCTAGAATTAAGGTATAAGAATGCAAAATGTATGATGAATGTATGAAGATTTCGAGGCATTCATCCAAACATGTCTGTTATAATAAATAACCTTCATTCGGACAAAATTGTGTATACTTGAGATAGATCTTCTAAACCTTGGATAGCTTCTTTGTTACCCCTTTTACCCGACCTATACGGAATAGGTTGAATCCAAAGGTCCATCAACTTGTTTTCCCAAAATTAACCCAAATGTGATTTAAGAAAACATTAAATTTATCCCTCATGATATTGATTTCAAAAGCTTTAAGAAAACTAAATTAATTCAATTAATAATTAAATAAAAAACTGTAAATCAACCAAAATTAAAAGTCCAATGTTCCCAAAAAAAAATTAAAGTCCAATGTCCACAAATAATAAACAATACCCAAATAAAAGTACTAACAAAAATCCGAAACAGAAAAATCTAAGTAAAAATATCAATACTATGAATAATAATAAAATCTGAAAAATGTCGTAAATTTCCGAGTATCTATTCACCTAAACTCAAGTATCTGTAAGAGAAACTAAAATGGTGTAAGCTAATAAGCTTAGTGTGTCTCTAAAATACAAAAAGTCAAAATTCACATCATAGTTTGAATCAACCAGTAATAATCATAATCTAAGGGGTTGTTTGTTTGCCTGTTAATGGAACCATTCAGCGCTGAATGTTGAACCGTTCAGCATTCAGCGCGTTTGTTTCGCACCTCTAAATGATTCAGTGCTGACTGATTCAGCAAAATAGTGCTGAATGATTCAAAGTCATTATCAAACAGCATGTCACATTCAGAGCTAATTTATACAGAGCCTCTGAATCATTCAACATTTTGAATCATTCAACGCTTAATCATTCTGAAGTAAACAAACAGTCCCTAAATCAAATAGTGATAATCATAGTCTAAATATTATGCAAATGATCATGCACCAATACACTATACACACCGTCTGAAGAGTAGGTTCCCCAAAACTACTCTAACTACAACACACCATCCGAAGTGGGGTCCGTCACAAAGGCAAAGACCACTGCTCACCTAGTCGAGTGAATGCACTAAACTTTCCCTATCAATCCCAACCCAATATGACATGAAATCATAGTATACATATCCAAACTTTGATTTGATCCTAATGTAAAAATTACATAGTCAAATATTTCAAAGCATATATTCTGATTCCGACAGTTCAACATAGTTATATATTTTGAATGCAAAACATATATTCCTATTGCAACATATCAAAATGTGTCACATGGCATTTTTTCCGAATTACATTTAATACAAACAATTCACAGTCAGACATACTTTTCAATTCAATTTCAAAACAACCATGAAACCAATCAAAACACATATAGCACTGAATAGAGATATTCCTTGACAAAGCAGCTAATGACAGTCGTAGCATCTACCATGATCAACTCGACCAGAGGTTCGACTCAAATCAGTGCCTACGAAAATTATTTGATAAATAAATTAATATTCTATGACTGAAAATATCGAACTATCACTTACGGTCAATCTGAATAGTACAGGTTGGTTTGAAATTTACGAGAAATTTACGAGTAACAACAGAGGAAACAGTAACGCAATTCTCGATTTGATTTCTCCTGTAAAAATTATGATAACCAATTTTAGTTTTCTCATACTAAATTTCCAGATTATTTGAACAATCTAATGGCATTATTAAATTTTTCTGGTTCGAATAAAAAGTTGACAGCGGGGTTTTTTTTGTTCAAATAAGAGATTGTTGGATCAAATAATGTGGCTGTCAGATTAAGAAAAGGAATTATCGGTCAGCTACCTTCCTGACCGACCGACGAGGGGACCAATGGCAGTAACCATACCCAACGACGATGACTACAAAGCCTACAAAGCCATATGTTGGGGACAGTACTGATGAGAGGGCGACAGTGGGCTCACATAGCTTGCCACGACTGACCAGAAGAGAACCCAGGCCGAGAAGGCCTTCCCTGATGAGGGTACGACCAACCAAATGCTACAATAGCCACAAACGACCGTGCACTATAAACAATTTATTTATTTACGGTACGTGAAATATTGTCACTAAAACTTGCATTTACGTTACTATTTGTATTTTGTGACATAAATATTGACGTCGCGACGAACGTTACGCTAGGTGTGTCATTAAATGTCAAATGTAACAATATATATATTTCCGTCACGTATTGTTAAACACTTTGTGATGTTAATATATAACGTCACATTATAATTTGTATTTAGTAACAATTAATTACGTCATCAATTAATATAAAGTTTTGTCACAAATTATTTGGAATTTTAAATAAAGGATACATTTTCTTTTGGAATTAACCCATGAAGGATAAAACTTTTTGGAATTTATAAAAAAGGACAAAAGTTTTTTGGAATTTAAAATAAAGGACAAAACTTATTGGAATTTACAATAAAGGACAAAATGGTTTGAAATTTACAATTAAGGAAAAATGTTTTATAAATTACAATAAAATACAATTTTTTTATAAATTACAATAATTGTATTTCTTACAAATAACCCATGATTTTTTGTTTGTTATCTTTCTCCTTGTCTTTCCTTTATAGCATCTTTCCTTTTTATTTCTTCTTTCAAAGGCGGTTCTTCGATTGGTGGCGGAACTCATGGGAGCTGCCAACACCTAGTTTTATCTTCCGCTTCCTTGCCATCTTTCTGTTACGGAATTTGACCTTTCAATAGTTACAAATAAAGCAACATAAGAAAGAAAAAATATAAGTCAATACCTGAAATAATCGAGCTCTTGACGCATAAGGTGCAATATAACAATGCTCCATCTTCAAGTCTTCGACCTTTTTCCCACGTAAATCTGGCCCTATTATAAGAATTTAAAACACATTAGAAAATGCCTATCTAAGCAGGTGATGATTCTGACAATCCACAAATTTATACTCACATGTGATGAGGGTACTTAAGGGAAAGAAATTGCTTCAAATCGTTGGTAACATGGAATCCAACAATGTTAGTTCGATAGCATCCTTTGTAAACCGGCTCTCTATTAACAAATTGTTTTCAAACAAAGTACAGTATAATGTGGACCAAATTGTGTTCAAACAAAGTACATTATAATTTGTACTTCAATAAGTTGATTTGTCTTAGTCAAATCTAATATTTGAGAATCTAAAAATTAAAATGACATATACCTCAGCAGCTTCAACGCTGCTAGGGATAATATTTAAGGAAGCAGCTCTACCATCTATCTTGTCCTTCGTTGATGATCCATCAACAGTATTTTGTATAGCTAAACTAATATAATAGAAAAATCAATCAATAATACACAAATGATTGCAAAAAGAAGTACCATGATAACTCAAGTACTAACAAGTAATAGAATGGACAATAGTCAGAAGACCCTCGACAAACGATTTCAAGAAGTACCATTGAAGGGAATTCATATAATATATGGCATCCTCCAAAGTATATTACACCAAAATAAATGTATATTAGAATAAAAATAAGAAAAGGAGGATAAATTGAGAGTGGTGTTGCAGTTTTTTTATGGAAATCAAACTCAAATAGACAGGGTTGATTCTGACTATTTTATGACTCGGGGTGAAATTAAAAATGGCCCCTAATTTAAAAAAAATTAAGAAGTACGTAATATAAAATTTCTATTAGAATTTTTTATTAAATTAAGGTTAAACTACATAAATGACCATATAACTATAGGCTAGGTCGTGAAATAACCACCATTTTAAATTTGCATCAATATGACCACTAAACTATTCAAATGGTTTAAATATAGCCACCTGCCGTTAACACTTAACAGAAGTGTCTACGTGGAAATTAACAAAAATTATTATAATTAGGATGCGGGTCATTGTAAAGTAACGTAGTTGCTGCGCTGACACTCTGCTTTGTTTTCTTCCATTTTAGTAACTACTTGTATATGATTTGTTTCCTTGGATTTCCATTTAATCCAATTTGATTCTGATTCTGTTTTTAATTTGTCTAATGCCTTAATTTAAGTATTAACTTTAAAATCTTTTATTCTAGTCATGTATTAAATTTGTAGATTAATTCCCCTAGATTTTATAATTAATCTTTGAGCCAATTCTCACACTTGTTATCAATGTAATACATATGTTATATAACTTGTTCAAGTTTAGGCAGAAAAATAAAACTAAAATAACTTAATTGCATTTGAACCTAAGATAAGTTAGTAACCAAGCAAAGCCTTAACCAATAGGCTAAATCTAATATTTATGTAACACCCCCAACCCGTATCCGACCCGGATTCGAGTCTGAAGTGTGAGTAATTTAAAATTTATTATTACATATAACTTATTCAAAACCTTTATCGAACTATTCAGAGCTTATACAATATATTATCTTGAATACATGCCAACTAGAAATTTATGTATTAAAATACATATTATTCACCTTTCTTCTGATCTGACCTTTGGTAAGAAGAACTGACCTGTCTTGCTCCACATTGCTCTTTACTCTTCTCACTTTGGTAACCTACATGTGAAACAATCACACGCTAAGTCGATGAGTTAGTGAGGCAATAAACATAAAATATAAACTATATCTTGTAATCATGTATGAACCATTACTACTATCACTCATACCCTTATTCATGTAACAAATCCCTGTAACACATATGCAATATATATATCATTACATATAAAAACATATACACACATATATTCCTTACTCATCATTTCTATCATTAGCCTTATTTCACTATCCATATTATTATCATTTATATGTGTTGATCATATCCTCTTGAACTTAACCTTGTTAACCAACATATGCTTCGTGTAACCAAACAATACACATATCATCATATGACTCATGCAATACACATATCAACATATATCACAAAAGCATATTTTTCACATGTAATATATTTATTGTTATATCTTGTCCAGCCCATGTACATTTCTGAGAACTATAGATAAGTGAGTTTATAGAGGTTGTGCACTAATGTTGTCACCACAGCTCGTATAAATGCACCGAAGTGCCACGTAGAATTGCACCGTAATGCCGCGTAGAAATACACCGAAGTGCCATATAAGGTTGTCCCTAAGGACCATATATCATTCCTTAAGAATCATATACATATGCCAAGGATCAAGTATGTGTCTCAAAAGACCTCACACATGTTCCAAAGAATACATATATGTCCCGAAGAACCGCATACACCCCGACTCTTGGCATGCCAACTATACCTCTAGCTCTCATGAAACATAACATGGGCATTAATCTTTATGTTATCATGCATTCGCATATACACATAGTCTTTTTATTACATTTTTATAAGATCACACGTAGTCAAGTAGTTCATTTCCATATAAATCACACATACACGTAGATCACTTGCACGTAGAACATCTTTATATAATCATATGATTCACTTTCACTTATCACATATACTTTTTCTTTCATTTATCTCGTGGCATATATCACATGGCTCTTTATTTCATTCTCATATGATCACATAATCATGTAGTTCCCTTCTCATATCACTTTGCATGGTTTTACATAAACATATATCATACCTTATTCATATATATATATATATCCGCAAATACATGTAAGCCCATATTTTCTTATCTTATAACTTACGTTACATATGCATGTAATCTTATGACGTATTGTTAAATAACTCAAATAACATTGTATTATTACGTACTTTGTTCCATAACCATATATTTACATACCTTATACTTACCTAGTTTACTCTATTTCACACATAGTCACATAATCACGTAATTTACTTACACATAGATCATTTCCATACCTAAATCATATAACACTCAATTCTTCCTCATAAAGTTATATTTTATATTAATATAATATCATATTATCCTATAAGTAAATACTTATCTTATGGTTTGGTATCATCATTTATACTCAATTCCCTTCACTAATATATTATTCTCATATTACGCTATAGTCTAATCTTATTTAACTCATCACCTTTCTCATGTAGTCATATAAATCTATTATATTGATTCTTATAGTTAATCACGTATACTATTAACATGTATGGTCACCTATCATATAACCTATTTCACATTCACATGTAATCATATAGACCATTCATATTAATTCCTATACTTATCACAATACATGTATTTACACAAATCATTTAATACATATTGTAATATATATCACATATACCCAAATCAAACATATGTCTATGATCATAAATTAATGCATTCTAATATAGGAAATAGACTCGTCGCAAGTCTTATTTCCATTAAACATCATAAACTAACTTGTATGCACTCACCTGAGCCTCACTAAGTTCCAATCCACTTTTATGCTTTCATCTATTTCGATCGAATCTTGACTTGATAATCGTTTCGGGACTTGTTCGTGCTCGATATCTATATGATCATACATTGATACATATCAGTATCCAATTGATATACTCCAATCTATCATTTTGTAGACCAAGAGAAATGTATAATTCTATTTCCTTGAAGTGCATCGATGCATTCCTTATGCATCGATGCATAAATTGCATTCGATGTTTCCATTTTTAAGGGTGCATCAATGCACTTCCTGCGCATTGATACACACTGAACAATTTTTGGAAATTTACCCTTGATGCATCGGTGCACCTTGAATGTGCATCGATTCACATAGCCCAGAAATCCAATTTATGCCCGAAAATCCCCTCTTTTCAACTTAATTACTTCATATATCATTCCATTTCGTATTCTTAACTTACTTACTACTATTCAAACTTATTTATATTCATTTATCTCGTCTTGAACCTTAATATCCTCTCCTCTTTATTAACTTCAAGAATTATACCAGATTTCCAACATGTTTTAAAACTCATTTTGTCACTTCATATCTCTTAATTTAACTCTTGACAAGTAAAATTTATCTTCTAATTTGAGTAGTGAACTCTATTTCAAGATTTCACCCAAGAACCCCAAATCTTTAATCCCTCCTAACTCCATCATACTTTGATTTTAAGATAACTTAAGCTTTCCTTAAGCTTAGTTATCATCTAATAATCAAAACCTAACCTTAAAATCAACAATTAATCCATAAACAAAGAAACTCACCTTTGAGCTTGGAGATACGGGAGGAGGAAGAAGAAGAAAGAAAACTCTGGATAATTCTCATTTTCCACTTGGTTCCTTATCTTATAAAAGAAATATAAAAATCTTACTTGTCAATTGACCATTTTACCCTTTAACTCATTCTATAATTACTAAATAACCTTCATCATATTTCCAATAAATCATTGAACTATTCAATTATCCTACTTTAATCACCAATTTCTAAAACTTTACAATTTGGCCACTAACCCGGTATTGAGGATGTTACAATTTAGTATTCAATTAAAATATTTTTTATATATTATATATTATATATTATAGTTAATGATAGAAATAGACAAGTGAGGACATAAATCTAGGCCAATTGAGAATATGATAACACTTAAATTGCTAAAAAAATATAATATATTATTTATAATTAATATAATATTTAATATTTTTAAGTTAAAGTTATTTATTTTATATTTATTTATTTATTAATGATTATAATTTGAATCTTAAATATTTTTTTCTTATGATTATGATTTTAATATTAAATTATTTTTTTAATGATTTCATATATATATAATCATTAAAAAATAAATATGAAAACAATAAATATAGTTTAAAAATATTAAAATACTACATCAATTATAAATAAACTGTTAGATTTATTTTAGTAATTTAAGTGTTTTCATATTCTCAATTAGCCTAGATGTAAGTTCTCACTTATCAATTTTTATTTTTTATCATTAACTCTATATATAATATTATAATTGATTTCTAAATATTAGATTTAGCTTACTGATTAAGGCTTGCTTTATTACTAATTCATTTTAGGTTCATATCCAATTAACTTATTTTAATTTTTTTCCTGCCTAAACTTGAACAAGTTATATAACATATGTATTATCTCAATAACAAGCGTGAGAATTAGCTCAATGGTTAAGGCATGCGTAGCTTAACCTTGAGACCCAAGTCAGATTCTCTTGGGTGTCAAAACTCATCTTTATTTATTTTCTCGGGATTGAAAATTTATTAAATTAATTAAATTAAAATTAAAAACTCTCCATGTCACAATTTGATTGGAGAAATAAATTTATTAAATTAAATTGAAATTAGGACCTAACTAAAATTAAGAATTAAAGTTAATCTTGACGATCAAATTGATTAATTCTAAAATCTACGGGATTTAATCTATAAATGTAATACATGACTAAAATAAAAGATTTTAAAGTTAATACTCAAATTAAGGCATTAGACAAATTAAAAATAGAATTAGGATCAAATTGCATTAAATGAAAATCCAAGGAAACAAATCATACACAAGTAGTGACCAAAATGAAAGAAAACAAAGCAGGGTTCCAACGCTGCAAATACGTAACTTTACAATGACATGTGCCCTAATTATACCAATTTTTGTTAATTTCCATGTAGACATTCCGTTCTAGATTCGTTAAGTGTTAATGACAGGTGGCTAAATTGAAACCATTTAAATAGTTAAGTGGTCATATTAACGCAAATTTGAAACTAGTGGTCATTTCACGACCCAACCCATAGTTATGTGGTTATTTATGTAGCTTACCCTTTATAATATTATGATACTATTTGATCCCAATTTAAATGGTTTCCTATAACCATACGTGATGCATATATAGTTTTTTTATATTTTTTATATATGATACGCATATATCATATAGTGTCGAAGGGTTTGACTTAAACTTGAAAATCAATTAACTAATTTTTAAAAATTTAAGTTACCTAATTTTTATTTTGTAACTCGACTCGAATTTAATTTTTTAGTGGAGTCTGAGTTTTTAAAAATTGGGTTAAAAAGATAAATTTATTAAGTCAAGTTGAGTATTATTAAACCCCTACTCACAATCACGGCACATTAGACCCACTAGCTTCAATCAGAACTGAAGGACAACAATTGTTGCCTCTTGTTAGAATTTGAGGGTGTCTCGGAATCATGAAATCAGCCCGGAAAACAGCTCAATATTGGACGTTACCAACACTGAAGCAAATTAAGAAAGCCACCCACGCGGCCACAATTTCCAATCCAATCTATTTCATCGACCCAGCCCACTTCACAATGTGTATCCATATATATATATATATATATATATATATATATATATATATGACATGATCCAGTTACACGTTATAGGGTAGGATTCAATTATATTTTGTAAAATTATTTTAATTTTACACAATTAAAAGTTGAGAATTAACAATATAAAGGGAGAAGATATTCACTAAAAAATAAGAAGTTAAATTCAACATTTGATTTCCTTCAATCCAATTGTCCTAAAAATATGTAAAACTAAAAGAGTTTTACATAGTATGAGTAGATCATAAACCCCACACATATAGAGAGAAAGACACACAAAAAAATAATATTTGTTTAAAGACTCAATCATTTAACAATGAATGTTCATCCTCTTATATAGTTAGTGTTTGAATCTGAGACCCCAGTCATAATGCATCTTAAACCTAATAACCTTCAAGCCTTGCCAATTCCACAACCACCTCATCATCTTCGTCCTCAATCCTAAGCAACCTAGGCACTTATGAAGCCACCGTGCTTTCCTCATATTACTCAAAATCATGGATTTAAATTACGATTATCGTCGTATTTTCGTTGCATTGCGTTTATCACTATTGTGAACATAACATGTGCTATTGCATATTGACGAAATAAAATAAAAAAAGTTGCGCCAATATAAATATAATAAAATTTTCATCTAATATAATTCAGATATACTTTTAATTTGAAAATATAATAATAAATTATAATTATATATATATATTAAATTTAGAAAAAATATTAATTGGAGCAATATAATTTTCTTAACATAATTCATACATATTTTTATTTAGGATAAATTATCTATTTGATCACTCGCCTATTACTTAATTTATGTTTTGGTCACTCAACTATTATTTTTGCAAAATCATACATAACATTATGCTTTCGACTTGTTTTGGTCACATGTCGTTAAAAAACTAACAGTGATGTTAATATGAAATTTTTAATTATTTTCAGTCTTGGTGTGACATTATCTTATGATGACACGTCAATATCACTGTTAATGTTTTAAAGGCGAGTAATCAAAACAGAAACAAAATATAACGTTAGGTATGATTTAAAATAAATAATAGTTAGATGACCAAAATATAAACTAAATGAGTGAGTGACTAAACAAGTAATTGATCTTTTTTTTAGCATGAGGTGGGCTATGGCCTGGGTCAGCCTAGGCCCAGATATGTACCTTCCATTATATAAATCCTACTCAAAATAACTCTCTTATGATTGCTATTATCCGTGTAGTGTGGAGCATTGATAACTTCACAGATCTTCTCATCTCTTTCCTTCAATCGAAGATTTTTCATACCTAATAAACAAAGCCTCATTTTAAGAGGTTTGTGGATTATTTTTTATAAAAACTAATAAAACATGTTATTTATTGTTTTTTCTGTTTTTAATCTAATACATGAAAATTATACGTACATAAATTTTAAATACGCGAGGCTGAAAACTAGCTCTTCGATCCTTATCCACGGAAGAACTCGATTCGTACGTACTCTTTCCGATGCAAACATTTTAGAGAAAAAAAAATATGTTTTTACATGATATTTCACTTAATTTATAGATTGAACATTAGGTTAAATAGATACAATTTAAAGAAAACAAAATATTATATATAAATATAAAAATTAAATTAAATTATCATTAAAATATTATGATTTTTAATACATAATGTAATTTTAGAGATCATTAATTGATGGTGGGGTCTAGTTTTGAACGACTTTCAATAATTTTTAATAAAAAAGAGTTATCTCTTGTTTTTCTATTAATTTTATGTGATTTTAATAATTAATGATTAAATCAATAAAAATCATAAATATAAAAGACAAAAAATTATTTAGTTTTTCTCTTATAATCATCACGTCAACCATTAATAAATAATTAATAAATTTTGAACAAAACATTTATTCTACTATCTTAGAAAAATATAAAAAAAAACTATTTTTTTAATAATGGGGGCTAAAATATAATCTAAAATAAAGTGAAAAAAAATCCTGTAATAATTCTTGTCGAAATAAATATTTTTTTTAAGTGGAGATTATTTTACAATGTATCAAAAAAGACAGTCGGATAATGTATCGTCTTCTAAAAAACACGGTTAGACAACACGACATGTTTTTTGTGCATGGAAATTAAAAGATCAAGTATTGTCTGACCTTTTCCTAAGAAGATGCTAGATCGTCAGATCGCCATTTTCAATCACTATAAAAAATTATTTTATTTTAAAAAATAATATAAAAAAGCATCATCTGGAAAATCTTTTTCCAATTCACTATTGAGATGCATGAGAAAGGGGCTATCGATGGCAACAAATGAAGAACGATTGGTGTGCGTGAAGAAGAAATGAACAGCAGTGATTGTGTTTTATTAAATTGTGAAAATGAATTAAAAAAAATGTTTGATTTAATTCATTACATTGCTAGGCTTATATAGCCGACTAACAACCTGCTAACCAACTAACTGAAGTGCTAACAGAATAATAAATACTAACTAATCTTATTAACATTCTAATATTCTAACATTTACCCTACTTCTTCAACCTTCTTGATGAAAAGATGAACACTTGAATCGAAAGTGCGATGCCTCCTTCCGTTCGACTTGAATCGAAAGTACGATGCCTCCTTCCGTTCGACTTGAATCGAAAGTGCGATGCTTCCTTCCGTTCGACTTGAATCGAAAGTGCGATGCTTCCTTTCGTTCGACTTAAATCAAAAGTGTCGATGCTTCCTTCCATTCGACTTGAATCGAAAGTGGGATATTTCCTTCCGTTCGACTTCATTCACCTTCTTTTTCTCTTTTTTTTCTTTCATATGGAATTCCTTTAGAAATCAAAACAATTTTTTTAGCTTACTCGTTCATATTAAGCTCCCTGTATATCAACCTTTGACAAACAATACAGCTTAGAATCAGCCGGGTCTTCTTTGGCCAGTTGCTGCTTCAAGCATCGGAACCACAATACCAGGGGTACCAACTCCAATTGTATCACCAAGTAAAATTTCGAAACAACCCATATCGTAAAGTTCCTTTGCCAAAAAGACCACTTTTGATGGAGTAATTGCTCCTTCCATTGGACATCCAACCACACATGAAACATACCCACACACTGGAATTGAACGCTCCTTAGCAGCAAGGCAAATAGCACGGTAACGTACTAGGCTTTTTTCAATGCTACAATTAATATTTGACTTAGAAAAAGAATCGGAAGCAGATACAAAAACTGCCACTTCTTTTGCACCTGTTGCAACAGCAGCTTCAAAGCCCTTCAAATTAGGAGTTAGAACAGGCAATCTGGCATCCTCTGTGTCGCAAACTGCTTTTATTACATTTTTTGCGTCTGCTAACTGAGGAACCCATTTAGCATATACAAAACTTGTAGCTTCAACAAAAGGCAACCCTGAAGCCACCAATCTCTGGATCAATTCAACCTTCACAGGCGTAGACACGATATTCTTCTCATTCTGTAATCCATCCCTCGGACCAACTTCCACTATCTTCACAAACTTCGGTATACCTTTTAAAACTTGTTTGTTATGTCTCGTATGCCCCTGTCATTACACTTGGAGCTATACTACTGATTTGACTGTATCCTTGATTTACAAACATGTCCAAGTTTCACCCTATTCTTGCTTAAGCTTTTAGCCCTTTGGTTAAAAGCTTCTCCTTTAGACACATCCCTCACCTATCTTTTCCATGGGAATGTCTCCCCTGTATATTCTTCATGATCCTCATCACAACTATTTGATGTTCTGCAACTCCTCCCATCAACCCAAGAGTTTCCCATGCTCATGTCATCTGCGTTGGGCCGACAAGCACTAGCTGAGAACCTCTGAATCCTATCAATAGTACTCATGCTAGGAAGCTTGTCAAAACCGAGTGGCTCCTCTAAACTTGACATCGCAAAGCCAAAAGAAGATACGAATTAGGATTACTAACAAAGGAGAAGCTAAAGAAAAACCCTAGAATTTTGGGGAGATAGAAGAATCTAGTGAGTGATTTTCGGTGATGCAAATTTCAGCAAATTCCAAACCTCAACCAAACAAACTAAGCAAAATTTCAGCAACAAACAAACGCAGGAAACCAAAACTCAAGAATGAATCACAATCCCTAACCAATAACAGAAAAAAAATCAAGAATTCAAGTTTGAAGTTGCCATATTGAATATGCAAATTTTTGACTCAAACAACACGCAACTTAGTCAGAAAGACGACCGATAGCAAGACCATCAAAAACTTTGAGATACGATCATTAACGGTGGCGGAAACAACTACTATGGCGTCACAATCGTTCGACGAATGATACCATTTGAGAAAGGGGCCATTGATTGCATGAAAAAAAGAACGATTGGTGTGCGTGAAGAAGAGGTGGGCAAAAACACCCTTGGGTTATCGACAGGGAAGGTCAAGGAACATAAAGAATCGTGGTGGTAGAACGACGAAGTCCAAACTAAGGTGAAGACAAAGCAAACTTGCTTCAATGAGTTTCTAAAATGCAATGAAGACAAAGAAATATCGAGAGCTAAACAAAGATAGAAGGACGCAAAGCGGGAAGCCAAGAAAATAGTGGCTAAAGCAAAGGATAAGGCATACGAGGAAATGTACAAGAGATTAGACACCAAGGAAGGGCAAAACGACATCTTCAGGCTTGCAAAATCCAGGGAAAATAGGAAAAGGGATTTAGGTAGCATTAGGTTTTTTAAGGACAACAATGGTGTTCTTTTAGTGAAAGATCATGATATTAAGAGGGCTTGGGGTAGTTACTTCTTTGGATTATTTAATGACGGTGCCTCTTCTTGTAGAGATAGTGACGTTGATGGGTCAACCGACCATCATACTGTGGCCAATGACTGCCCTACAAGTAGGATTGGGTTTGAGGAAGTCAAAATGACTCTTAGAAAGATGGGGAGGGACAAAGCTGTCAACCCATGTCAAATTCCTATCACTGTGTGGTTGGCCCTAGGAGAAGAGGGAGTTAAATGGTTGACCAACATCTTTAATATTATTTTAGAGACTGCCAAGATGCCAGAGGAGTGGAGAAAGTCTATAGTGATACCAATCTATAAGAATAAAGGAGATGCCCAACATTGTGGCAACTACAGAGGTATTAAACTACTCAGCCATACCATGAAGCTATGAGAAAGGGTGATAGAGGCTAGGTTGAGACACGTTAGTAGGGTTTCGAAAAACCAATTTGGTTTTATGCCAGGCAGGTCTACTACGGAGGCGATTCATCTACTTCGACGGCTTATGGAGAAATATAGGGAGAAAATAGAGATCTTCACATGGCGTTCATTGACCTTGAGAAGGCGTATGATAGCGTTCCCCACGATACGATCTGGAAGACCTTGAAAACGAGACGGATCCCAACTGTTTATATCCGGTTTATTCGTGATATGTACTGTAGATCTACTACTTACGTCAGGACTATAGTTGGCGACACCAAGGCATTCCCGGTGGAAATCGGACTCCACCAGGGGTCGGCTCTTAGCCCTTACATCTTCGCCTTGATTATGGACGACATCTTTTTTGCGACACCAGACGGTGTTCCATGGTGTATGCTTTTCGCTGGCGACATTGTTCTAGTTGCTGAAACAAAAACTGAGCTAAATAGTAGACTGTTGCCAGGAAGACTGCTTTGGAAGAAAAAGATCTAAGGATCAATATTCAAAAGATAAAGTATTTATGTTCAAACTTTTGTGGGAACCAAAATGATGAAGATGTAGAAATATGCATAGAAGGACACATTATCCCCTCAAAGGAATGTTTCAAGTACCTAGGGTCTATGATACATAAAGATGAGGGTGTAGATGATGACGTTGCACATTGTATAAAGGCGAGATGGCTAAAGTGGAGGGCTGCTACTGGAGTTTTATATGACAAGAAGGTGCCTCTAAAACTTAAAGGAAAATTTTATAGAATGGCAATAAGACCAGCACTGCTATATGTATCAGAATGTTGGGCAATCAAGAATGATCACGTAAGGAGGATGGAGGTCGCAGAAATGAGAATGCTTCGATGGCCATGTGGTAGGACTCTGTGGGACATGACACCAAACTCTGCTATTAGGATGTCCCTGGGGGTGGTGCTTGTATCCGAAAATTTGAGGGAGGGAAGACTATGGTGGTTTGGGCATGTCCTTAGGCGAAGACCGTTGGATGTGGTCAAGAGGGTAGAGTCGATTACAGTCGACGGTGCCAGAAGGAGATGACGACCAAGGCGAAAGTGGGAAGACTGCTTGAGATCTGATTTGAAGGATTTAGCCATTACCGAGGACATGACCTCTGATAGGAAAGTATGGAGACTTAAGACCAGGGTAGCCGAGTAATGCGGGTCACAAACATAGGGTGTAACATCTCTGTCTTCTTTTTAATGCCTTTGTAATAATTTCCATGACTTCTACTTTATATACGTTTCTGTTATTAGAATTTATGAAGGCTTAGAACTAGGGTAACGGAGTAGTGTTACCTAAGTTTAGGTTGTAACCCATTTGACTTTATTCCTTCTCGTAGCATGCTATCGTTGACTATTGTGTATCCTTCTCTTCAGGTTTCCTCTTTTTAAATTTAGTCGGGTCTTACGTTTCTGTCTATACGTAGAGATGTATTTGCAGGGATTACTTCCTATTACAGATGTGCATTTAAAGACTGTATATGAAGACTGTTCAACTATGTATTTATTTATTTAGACATGCATTGCATTTTATATTTATTTTTAATTTTCTGATTGCCAGAGGTCTTCCACGGAAACTGCTCTCAATCCTGACATTGGGGGCAGTCTACTACCTTACCTCCCCCTTAACCTATTGCATATGGAAATAAGATTTTGTTGTTGTTGTTAGATACTTGTTTATCTACCCGTGGTAATTGACAAGGCTTAAGGAAGAAAAAAAACAAGAGGTGATGATTACATCTCCATGAAAAAAAGGATGTCTCCAACCAACTTCCACCGCTAGATGCTTTGCGTGGTCTCGTATCTGCCGCCTATCCCCTCTACACGTGTCAACGATCCGGCACATCAGAGGATTCCCTTGTGGTGGCTCTAATTCACACCACATTTACAATATGTTGCTTCAGATCTTCCCACGCCACCATCAACTGTATCCTGGGGCTACCAACCCCAAATGCATTTTCATATCACACAATATGAAAAACTATCTTTATTATTTGATCAAATAATTATTTTTATTTTAATTTTTTTAATATTTTATTATTTAATATTTTATTTGGAGATAAAACCCTCCTTAAGCGAGTGAAAGCTATTAGTTAAAGAATAATTAATATTCTTAAATAAAAATATTTTTATCTCAAAAATAAAATATTGATTGTCAAAATGCTCTAATAAAAAAAAGGAAGATTCAAAGTAATTAATCGGTCAAACATCAAAACTTTTTTCCATTAAAAACATTGAAAGGTAAAATATTAAAAAAATAAAATTGATTTTTTTAATAAATATTAAGATGAATTTTAACATTATACCTTATCATTTTCATTAATCACCATGCTTTCCCATTTGGAGACGGCGACCGCCGCTCTGTTCTGGATGGTCGGTATCACAACCGGACAAAAATATGGGAATTTCCAGTCGCTTCGAGTAAAATCGTCTTTGTCCATGATCATATCGGGGTTTAAATAAATTGTTTTGGATTAGGGTTTTGTTCTTTCACGACATTGATATGGTCATTTTTCATAGAGATTTACATACACTTTATTATTAGTATTAAATACATTAAGTTAATAAATATACAGCTATATCACTAGATTTGGTAGATGTGTAGGGTTTGTCGAATGTCCTGGGTTGTCCATGGCCGCCAAAACCAGTTTGGCTTATCTTCTACTTGGCATTTTGTTGGAAATCACAAAAATATTATTGAGCATTATGCTTTTGAGTTTTTGAACCTTCATTTGGTCTGTAGGTCATTTCGGGAGACTTGTAATGGTGATTTGCAACTACTTTCTTGCACAATGATACTAATTTCTTGAGAATGACGGCTGCTGCAAATGGTTCACATGCGTTGCATTGGGTAAGGATGTGAAAGCGTATTTTCTTTTCTATTTTTGGATGTTTAAAGTGATTTCTAGTTTTTTCAACTAATTACGTGCGACAGTCTTAATTTACGGTTAAAAAAATAGCTATCGATTTAGTTATTATTTAAATAATAAAACTTGTAAAAACATTACCAGAAACATTATTATTTCTACCGACTTTGTTATTTTTGGGCGTTTTACACGTTTTGTTAAAAAAACCGGTAAAGCGCTATCAATTTTGTTAACAAAACCGGTAAAACGCTATCGGTTTTGTTATTTTTTCTACTGATTTTGTTATTGTTGGGCACTTTACCGGAAATGTTAAAAAATATTAATGTTTTAGATAGAAATAGTAATATTTTAGGTAAATTTTTTACTGATTTTATTATTTAAATAATAAAAAAATAGTAACACCATTTTTTAATTGTATATTAAAGGTGTCGCACTATAGAACTTTTTACTAACTTTCGGTTCGAGGGTTGGTCTAAACAACCAATGCCTTGGGGCCCAATTTATTGTGTATATGTTGAACCTATATTTTAAAATAATATATTAGGGGTCAAATGTTTTTGGATATAATTGATTTTTTTAAAGATTTTCAAAATAATTTAAAGTTCATAAAACTATAATTTAAACATAAACACAATTTTTTAGCAAGTAGTATTAATAATACCACATGAACAATACCAACATTATTCTTAAGGTATCGATACCACAAGTAAGAGAGGTATCGATACCACAAGAGAAGTATCGATACTTTCATGACAGTATCAATACTACATGTTGTTTTTAAATTATTCAAATTTCATAATACAAAATTGGTACCAATACACTAGGAGTACGGATAGTACGTTACAGAGTAATATCGATACTGTAAAACCTAGTGTCGTAACCGGTTTTCGTACGGGTATAAATTTTCCTTGGCGGAAAAGTATGTGAATGAATAAATGTTTTTTTAGGAAATGTTTTGGGAGTCGCCGTCAACTTTTTGGGTTAGATAAGTCGAATACCTAAAAATCATCTTTTAAAAGAATTTTTAAGAAAACATCATTTAAAAGATAAATCGGTCTGCGTTTAACCAAAAATTCATTCTTTTTAGTAATAAAAATAGATTCGTGGTCGGTTACATTTAGAGAAGGATTAGCACCCCTATAACGCCCAAAATTAATACTTTTTGATTATAAATTATCTCTATTAGCAGAAATTTAAAAATTCAAATATAAATTTAATTTATGATTCTATTATTTTAGATTCAATCGAATAATTCTAAAGAAAAATATATGAAAATATATATTTTTTATAAGTGAAGAATTTACTTATTTAAAAATACCAGAAAAAGACATCTAGTTACTTTAAGACAGTCACTTTCTTAATATTAAAAAATAAATAAATATTAATAAGAATAATTATTCCTAAAAAAATTCATATTAAAATAATTTGATATATAAAAAATAAAATAAATATATTTTTAGGGTTTTATAAGCTGTATATTTATTTATTTAAAAATATCAGAATATGACATCTAGTTACTTTAAGACAGCCTTTTCTTAATATTAAAAAATAAATAAATATTAATATTTAAGCAAATATATATTTATATGAATAAAATAATAATTAAAGTAATAAATTAAACATTTGAAATTATAAGGGTAAAAAAATAAATTGCAATTAAATAGTGACTAAAACAAATAAAATTAAAATAATAGGATTAAAATGTAAAATATTAAAACTTACTGCTCTAATTTGAAATATTATAAAATATAGGGATTAACATTGTAATTTAACCATAATT